AAATAACATGAAACAGTGTTCTTTCACTTTTTATGATGTCTGTGCACCAAGATTTATTTGACAAATGCTTTACTTTGCTTGACAAAAGCAAATAGAAAGGTGACTGGAAGGAAACATATAAATTAATAATGTATAAATTTTATTTTATTTATTTTTATCCTCACCCAAGGATATTTTTGCATTTATCTTCAGATAGTGTGGGAGGGGGAGGGGGGGAGAGAGAGAGTGAAACATCAACGTGAGAGAGATACATCGACTGACTGCCACCCACACGACCCCAACTGGGGCTGGGGACAAACTGCAACTGAGGTACATGTCCTTAGATTCCGAACCCAGGAATCTCTGGTCCGCAGGCCGATGGTCTAACCACTGAGCAAAACCAGCCAGGGTGATAATGTATAAATTTTTAAAATTCATTGATTTAGTCATTCTATTTGGTGTCTGTAAATTTTAAAAAAATGAAAACATTTTACAATTATGCAGCAAAGATATTAGCCACTGTTCCTTCAACAAAACTATTAACCATGAGGCTTCCCAAACTATTAGATTTTATCAGTGCATGTCCAATAAAAAGAACCAACGGCAATGATAAGCCACAACCTGTTAGAAATGTATTTAATATCTGGAATCAGTACTTATAAGACGGTTTCTGTTTCAGGTTCACGCACAGCTGATGATGATCAGTTAGGTACACTGTTTAAAGGAAGTTGCCCATCTAAAAAGTCAGGAAAACATATACTAAGATTTTGAGTTTGCTATGTTGAAATCTAATAAACATTCTCATAAAATTGTCTTTCACTTCCTTTGTTTGAATTTCTGTAAATTACTGATTAAAAAAAATCTTAAAATTACAAGAAAGTAAAAATGGTCCACTGAATTCAGATGGTTAATGGTGATTATAATTTTTTTTCTGGGAAACTGAGAATTAAGAGACAAAACAGAAGTTTGAAAATATGACCAAAAAACATGCAGGCAGATAAGAAAAAAAATCAAATACAACTCTTAGAAACAAAGCATAATATTAAAATGTAAGAGTCAACAGACGAACTTCTACGTCCAACAAGATAGCCTAGATGACTTTTTCTTTTTCTTTTTTTTTTATCCTCACCCGAGAACATTTTTCCATTTTTTGTTCAGATAGAGTAGGAGGAGAGAGAGGAAGAGAGAGAGAGAGGAACATCGAAGTGAAAGGGACACATCGAGTGGCTGCCACCCACACGACCAACCAGGGCCGGGGACAAACTGCAACCGAGGCACATGGCCCTAGCGGGAACCGAACCCGGGTCTCTCTGGACTGCAGGCTGACACTCTAACTGCTGAGCCAAACCGGCCAGGGCTAGATGACTTTTTCTTATTCCTCCTGTTAAATACAACCAGAACCCTTGGACCTTATCTATGAAGAAAACTAAGGTTATAAAAGGCTGAGGGAAGAAAGAAGACCGAGGGATGGCACAGTGGTGAGTTTTAGCTTTCCTGGGTTTTCCTTCTGCCTCATGCATCTCAACTTGGAGCAGAAAAAGCCGGCAACCAGGAAATGCTGACAGATGTAGACGGAGCCCCGATAAAAGCCTGTTTTCTTTAGGAAAAGGGTCGTATAAGAGAAGCCTCATGCTCCCATGGCTGAGCTTGGACTGCTGCCTTTTTGCTCTCTGTTGCAGCCATTCACACACTTCTAGAACATTCCATCTTCCCAAAAGTTGTTAAAAATGTTTTTCCTTTGATGAGCCTCTCTTTCCTCTGTCCATCCACTACTTAACTGTTGGAATGTATTCCTTCTTAAGTTTTTATTCTTTTATTTCAGTGGGATCTTGGGAAAGATGGGAAGTCATTTCCAATGAGGAGATAAAACTATTATATAAAACATGTTTGATGGTCAAATCAGTTTGGGAAACCCCAATTAATTTATTCTTAAGATTTTTGCTTCTATGCAGATGACTTACAGAAAACAGACACATACTCATAGTTCACATAGGATTCTAAATATTCAAATTATAGGTGGAAAGAATCACCAATCTCTTGATCTACCTAGGGAGCCAGGCATACGTTAGTCAATCAGACTGTGATAGTTGATGATATAAGGTCTTTTCCTTTATCATTATTATTATTCTATGCCTAAGTAAAATTACATGTCAAGGCTGAAAAACGTCCCTGGACCTGGAAAATCTACGCTGCATAACGAATAAAAGCCTATACTAGGAGTTAAGCGAAAATTCCAGTCCCATCTCAACTAATATATTCCAGGAAGGGAGGCACTGGACCTTAGCTTCTCCGTCTCTAAATCAAAGAGCAGCGTGGGCCGCCTTGGGAAATGTGTGGGTTGCGCTCCCCCATGGACCATGTGCTCCGAGAACTGTTTTCTCTGTCCCTCTCAGAAGCTAATCTGCCCATTTTATGGGTGTGAAACTGAGGCCGGAAAGATGATCATGAACGTAACCAAAAGGCAGAAGGCAAGCTGGACTAGAAAATGTCTATGTTCCCTGTGAGATGGAAATGGTATGGCTTTGGAGTACTAATGCGTCCTTAGATTTATGGACCAGAACAGGGCCATCCTAGCCAGCTCATGCCCAGATGGGTCAGCGACAGGACGCCTGCCGAGAAGTCCTGGTGACACCTAACCCGTGGAGTTTAGACTCAGGTGTAAGTTCTCAGGGTGAGTGGGACTCTAACTGGAGTTACACAGGCGAGGAGAAGGAACAGCAATAAAGTTGTCTTCTCTCTTTTTTCTAGTTGTAAATACTCTTTTATTTTATTTTAAAGAGACTTAAACACCAAAAGCTATCAAGAAAGGATGCCTAAGCAGGGGTTTTTATTTCACTCGGGCTACTCCCACTCATCCGTGCAGCTGCCATGGAGCGCCCACTGCCTGCAAACGGAATCCGGTGCCAAAGGGAGGGACGGCACCCTTGACCTCCTGGGGACTTGATTGACAACAAATTGAATATTAAATGCACAATAGGAAATAAGCCCTCCCGGTCCTTCGACCACATCTTTCAAGCCCTATTTCTGACACTGGAAACTTCTAAGCTCAATTCGAGTGTCACTCTGCTCTGTGCCAGATGATTCTGTCCGCATGTTTATAGTCCCCGTACACACAACTTAAAATGTTTACACTGAGTCGTAATGGAAGTCATGTGTCAAATGCAATGGGAGGGGGGAAAAGTCAAGCTTTCTTCAGAACTAAGGCTTTAAGATATACAATATCTGTGGAAAATCTGCCTTACAAATAAGAATGCATTGTTTACCTACACCATTTAATTATAGAGAACATGCATTTTACCCTTTGCCTACAATGTCTAACATCTCGCTTTTCAGCTTTTTGTTTTGGTTTTGCTCCCCATGTTGCCCGGAGCTCTGGAAGTCTCCTAGTTCCATATACAGACTCTCAAAGCACACGGCCACACACTTCCCTGCCATCTGTGGTCCCATTTCCTTTAATCACCATCCCAAGGGGAGGCAGTGAAGGACGCACCACCGTGTTCAAAAGCAAAAGAGCAAAACCAGTCAGGAGAGGCCCCCTCAGATGCTCTCGGGCTGCCGGTTGTCTGCTATCCTGTTGGAGCTGCGTAGAGACCAGCAAAACTACAGGAGGCCCGGAAAGGACTCTCAGCATCTTTCCACAGGGAGAGTCCTCTGAATTTATCACCAAGCCTTTGGTGGCAGCTTCTAATTACCAGCTATTCGGGCAAAACCACTGAGGAAAGGTCTGCAGAGGAGGTAGCATTCGGGCTCACCACTGCCCACAGCCGCCTCCGACAGACTCCGCCGAGGCTCAGTGCTAAGCGGGCAGGAAGATACCGAAGGAAGGACACGGCCTGGGCTGCCGATTCTTTGACGTCACATGTCCAGAGATGGATAGATTATCCTGGTAAATTCGTAACTCTTGGGTGAAGTCCAACTTTTTTTTTGAGAGCCAAGACTCCCCAACCCCTCCTCCCACACCTCAGTCATTCTCAGCGGCAGCCCCTGGGTGGAGTCAGGTGACCGGGAACACAAGGCCTCCAGCGGTGCACCCGCCCCAGCCTCAGCCCCAGCCTCAGCCCCAGCCTCATCGGGGCACTCGCCCTGCGCCGTGTCCTTTGGATAATGATGACTACACCGAATAGTCACCTGAGCCCTCCAGCCTTTTTTGTTTTAAATCTTGGAGAAGCTGACACTTTCCTTCTGCTCTGTCACTTTGCAGAAAGAGTACTTTGGTCTATCTCCTTTAGGTGGCTCTGTCTGCAACTCTCAGCTGCAGAGAAGGGCCTCCTACTGTTTCTTTTGGAAACATAAATTCTAATTTCCAAAGAAGCTGGCGCTTCATTAGAGGCCATTTTTACGCATTCATTCTCGGTTTGATTCCACGGGTGCACTAGGCAGGCCCGCTGAGAAAATCAGTTTCTCTTACCATCTCCCCAACACCCAAAACCCAAAGGCAGGAAATGCTACGAGAAAGCAATATATATTGAAGGGGAAAACAAAAAACAAAAACAAAGTAAGTTGCAGACTTGAATAAAAAAGACAGACTGGCCACCCTGGCCGGTTTGGCTCAGTGGTTAGAGCATCGGCCTTCGGACCAGAGTCCCGGGTTTGATTCCGGTCAAGGGCACATATCTCGGTTGAGGTTTATCTGGCCCCAGCTGGGGTCATGCAGCTGGCAACCAATCGATGTCTCTCTCTCACACTGATGTTCCTCTCTCTCTCTCCCTCCCCCTCTGTCTGAAGATAAATGTAAAAACATCCTAGGGTGAGGATTAAGAAAAAAAGACCCTTTCAACATCAATTTTTACCTTTACACAAAATTTTCATTTCCCCAAACCACATAACCAGTTTTAAATAGAACCTACTTAATGCTAAAATAAGCAACCAACAATATACCTATAATTTTAAACTTTATTTTAATCTAGTATGTCTGGTTGCTTCATATATTTTGCATCTCACCCAAAAGTTCTGAGGAAACATATTGAGATAAATGATTATTTAAACTATACGTATTCATTGAGGATCTAAACACATCTCACCTGTAGGTATGTTTCCAAACCTTGTCGTCGCTGTTCTAGCACTTTCGGAACCCAGTTCCTTACGTGTTTAGAAGGGATTTCTGGAGTTTTGATACATTTCTTCAGCTATAAAGACAGAAACAAAAAAAGAATAAGAAAAAAAACCTCTTAATCATAAAGACATTATTGGCAGGGAAGCCAATAAAACAACTGTTATCTCGAATAACAAGATAGAGGAAATTATAACACTGAAATTTTGTCAAAAAATTAATTATTTCCTTTGTTGTCCTAAATGTTCAGATTTCAGGATAAAATTTTTATGCTTTTGGTAGTTGTCACTATGTATGTGCATCATTTGTATTTCAAACTGGAATTATTTTTTTCTAAAATATTTAAATTGCAGTACATGAATTATAAAAGAAGTAAAAATGCTTTAATTTCCAAAATCAATACAATGAAATTTTGGTTGCATGAAGTACTTTTCTAATGAAGTCTTTCTACATATTTTTCACATAAAAAAGCAAAACAAAATGCCATTGTTTACAATCATCATACCATAAATGCCATATGAACCAGACCACGTCATTTGGCGAGTTCCTTGAAAGTTTTATAATAGAATGAACTAAAGAACAGAGAGACTGATCCTTCCAACATTCCTAAGAATTAGGTCCCAATTCTGTTCATGAAAACTGAATGATGGTTTGTAGCTAACCCTTTGAGGGCAGCAGTTTTAGGAGACCATACAAATGAAAAAACAATTCTATTGGAAGCTGAGTTAGAAATACCTGTGTTAGGTGTATCCTACTACATCCACATCCTAAACCTGTGACTATTACCTTCCGTGCCAAGGTGCTTTGCATATTTGATTAAATTAGGGATCTCACAATGAGAGATAATGAGAGATCATCCTAGATTATCCAGGTGGGCTCAAAGTAATCACAAGAATCCTCAGAAGGGGGAGGCAGGAGGGTCACAGTCAGAGACAGACTCGAAGCGACTTGCTTTGACGATGGAAGAAGGGTCATGAGCCCAGGCAACCTCTAGAAGCTGGAAATGGCAAAGGAATGGGTTCTCTCTTGTAGCCTACGGAACCTTGATTTTAGCTCCGTGAAACTCATTTTGGACTTCTCACTTCGAGAAGTATACCGTAACAAATCTGTGTTGTTTTAAGCCACTAAATTTGTGTTAACACGTTACAGCAACACTAGGAAACTAAAACACTGCCTCCAAAATGGAATGAATTTTAATATTCTAATTAAAAACTTGGAAAACCTATTGGAATTGCTCCTTTACTACATATGCAAAGAAACTGCATAATCATCTCTAAGAAAATGCACAGTGAAACCCCAGCAGCTAATACTGTAATACAAAATTCTTCCCGTACATTAGCATATATTCACCATTAACCATTCCAGGCTGCAGTGTGTTGCACACCATGACAAAGAAGGGGTCTTGTACACTTTGAAGAGCAGTCCCTCTAGTGCAGGACACTAGGCTGAGCCTGTGTTTGCCTCCTCCCTCCACACCTGAAGTGCCATTAAAACGATAGTGTGAACGCGCCAGCTGACACCCCAAATCTATTCTTCTTATCTCCCTCACCAACCGAACTATATTATTGAGAATAAAAATGTATTCTGCTGAAGTTAGCTGAGAAGCTAAATTTTCCAAACTTCCTTGCAGAGAGTGGAAGCCAAAGGTCGTCAGAAGTTATGGAGAAGGGCTTTCTATAAAAACACTTTTAAATTGGAGCAAAGTCAGCTGACTTGCACTTTCTCTCCTACCCCCCTTTCACCTGCTTCCTGCCTAATAAAATGTGACCATGATGGCTGGAGCTGCCACAACCAGCTGCCACCATGAGGCAAGTCTGAGGATGGGAGCCAGGTGTTCCAGATGACTGAGCAGGAAGAAAGGAGGAGTCGGTGCGCCGACAGCCTCCTGGAGCGGCCACACAGCCCGGCCTGCCCACCTCCGGGCTGGTTTTTTAAGAGGAAAGAACGAACCCCTCCCACCTTCTCTTTAAGGTTACTGGTATTTGGACGTTTTGTTTTATGTACCTGAATTTAATCCTGGTAGACATTGAAAAAAGAAGAAGAAGAAAGTCGAAGGGAATAGGGCACAGAACAATAAACAGAACAGGGCAGGCGAAAGGGATAATCACCGAGCGAGAGATGAACAGCTTTTTAAAAGACAGAAAGCAGGAGTATGCCAAGGAAGAAAACAGCAGAGGAGGCCCCACCCAGACCAGCTCAGGAAGGGGATGACAATGGGTGTGGACCCCAATCTTCTCAGCAGCCCTAAGAGGCTCTGTGCTTGAGGCTGGCATAAGAAGAAGGATTAGAATATGTCATAGCCTGTGCCAAAGGACACTCTACCCACCTCAGCGGAGTGACTAGCAGCCTGGTTTTATCCCTGACACTCATACTCCACACCATTAAAAAAGGGTCAATATCCCTGAAGAAAATGAATGAAGTATTTGGATTGAACAAGGGTTTTGCCATTCTAGTCACACTGGTTTTCATGGGGACCCCAGCCTAATAGCTGACTCTCTCCCCTCATTCCCTATAATGAAGCCCTTTAGTAGACACACCTTACAGAAGGACCAGACTTATGTACCCAAAGCAGAGAAGCCAATGAAAAGTAACCAGAATAATTAATCACATTGGATGGTTCTTCACAGATCACTGTCATAGGAAAGCAGCACTATGAAAGAGAAAAGACGAGAAAAACAAACAGGTCAGCTAATCCCAAAGGAAACATACAAATCAACTGGCAGACGGGATCTTTAAAAATTCTATCAGTATCACCCAGCCAGAGTGGCTCAGCTGGTTGAGCATCACCCTGTGCACTAAAAGGTTACCAGTTCAATTCCCTGTCAGGGCACATACCTGGGTTATGGATTGGATTCCCGGGTTGGGGCATGTACAGAAGGCAACCGATCAAATTTTTGGGTGAGGATTATTTTTAAAAAGTTATATCAGTATCTTCAGGTATATTTGAGAAGATATTGTTTCTATGAAACAAGAACAGGATGCTATGAAAAAGAAACAATCAGAGAATAAGAAACATTGGGAATTAAAAACCATAACAGAGAAATAAAAAATTTAAAAGAGATAAAATATAAGGTGCTAGAAGTCTCTCGAAGTATAGAATAAACAAAATGAGAGAAAAGGTAGGTGAAAGGATAAAACACATATAGAATTAATCCAGGAGATTTAACATAATTAATAAGCCTCCCATTAAGAATAAGAAAAAATTCTAAAAGAATAAAAAAAGTTCTATATGACTTAATGTATGCCTTCCGATTAAGAACCCATTGAGTGCAAGCACTGTATATAAAAACAGACCCACACTCTACTGACATTTATCTGTTGAGATTTCAGAACGAAGGACAGAGAGAAAACAGAAAAAAAGTAGGTGGCAAGAAAAGGAAGCAGAACTTCAGTGGCAACTGACTTCCATCAGCAGCAGTGAGTGCTAGAAGATCAATGCTTCAAAGACCTCACCTGAAGATGGATTTCTAGAACCAGCCACACCATCAATCAAGTGTGAGAGAACAAATACATTTTCAGACATTCAAGGACTCAAAAAGTTTACGTTCCATGCCTTCTTTTACTCAAAGTTGATCATGTAATTCTAGAAAACTGAGGATTAAGGCAAGAAAGAGGAGATATAGGATCTGGCCTTTGAGTTTTCTCCCATCAATGTGGGGAAGGGAACTCCAAGGACAGCTGAGCACAGCGGCCTAGAGAACCACCAGTCTGTGTTGGGGCAAAAAGTCAGAGAACTTGGAGAGGGAAGCCTCCTAGAGGACTACTGAATCCACGCAGCAGAGAGTATGGAGAAGATGGATACATTTTAGGATTTGTTAAATAAAGTACATTATTCTTTTATCTATTAAGAAAACAATTACAAGCCCAGCTGGTGTGGCTCAGTGGATTGAGCCTCGTCCCGTAGACTGAGAGGTCCTGGTTTGGTTCCCGGTCAGGGCACATGCCGGAGTTTCGGGTTCGATCCCCAGTGGGGGGTGTGCAGGAGGCAGCTGATGGATACTTCTCTCTCACATCGATGTTTCTATTACTCTCTCTAAAAAAATCAATAAAAAACATATTAAAACAAAACAAAACTCTTTTGCCTATCTCAAGGCTGAGAATATTTAAAAATAAATAAACAAATAATTTTTAGGGAAAGCAAAGATTCCCTGAAGAAGGTCATGGAACAGGAGGCACTCAACCCTCCCTGTGTTATTCTGGTGCCAGAGACCCTCCTGCTTTCATGGGGCTTACATACTAGGAAACAGACAGTAAAAAATTAACAAGTTAATAAAACAGGGTGAGGGCCGAGAGTAACAGAAGGGGTAGCTGGGGAAGGCCTGTGTGAGTGGGAATGTCTGAGCTGCGACCCGATTCACTCTGGGCAGGAGCCAGGGAAGGAGCGGAGAAGGAATGTTACAGACAGTGCAAAGGGGGGTCAGCCTGGCATTCCCAACACAGAGAAGAGCCGGGTTCAGAGAGGTGGCAGCTTCAGACACTCTTGGGCCTTGGAGGCCGAGGTGGGAATTTGCATATCATTTTAAATGGGAAGCAAACTGAATAATTTGAGCAAGGAAATGATCTAATTTTTACTCTAAGAGACCATGAGAGATTCTACCAGCAAGATGGACCATAAGGGGGCTGCTGTCAAAGCATGGGGACCCGTCAGAAGCTCCTGCTGAGGTCCAGGCGACACATGATGGCGAACTGTGTTAGGGTCCCGGCAGTGGAGCGGGGAGAAGGAGAAGGCTGCAGGAGTATGTGGAAAGGAGAGGTGATAGAATGACTCTAAGACCTCCGCTGTTGTAAGGTTTATGACCTCACCTGGCAGCCATAACTTGGGTGACCTGCCTTTTGTGTACTGAAAGGTGACAGAATGCCATGTTTTGGGTAAGTGGCAGAGAACGCTAGTTATTCCCCCCATACACTCTCTCCTAGAGCATAGCACTCCTAATTTTCAGCTGAGTACATGACCATCCAGGATAAAGAACAAATTTCCCAGTCTCCCTTGACACTAGGTGTGGCCATATGCCTGGATTCTGGTCAAAGGCAGACATGTATGTGTAGCCCTCAGGAAGTGGTCTTAAAGGGAAGGAG